CCCCAAAACCCCAAAACCCCAAAACCCCATTTTCAGGAGATAAGATTGATAAATATGACTTTATATCAAGGAATATTATTTATACCTCATCATACTTCAGACATTCTCTACATCTTTAGTGCACAAAATAGACGAGCTTGGTAAGGTACAAACAAAGCTTTGGAGGCACTAAGAAGAAGCCTAGAATGAATCTTGAGAACTCTAAGGAAAATCTCATACAGTCTGATTGGAATGAAATCTTAGATTTTATGAAATTCTATCAATTCTAGCAAGAATATAAAATTTCATCAAAAAGGGAAAACATTTATGAGAAGATATTAAGAAACACCACAAGGTCATTATTGACTGGCAATGCAATCTTAATTAAATTTAGACTAAAGCAGAAAAGATCAAGACAAATAAATATAGTCCTCAAAATTTAGAATTATTGAATTGGTTTATTGGAAGCTTGTTTACTGACTTCATTCAAGAACTGTATTCTTCATTGATTTGGATATCCGAATCCGATATATTCTCTACACAACTCAAATTAGATTCTTCACTATTGTATCCAGGTAGATTGATATTACAGGAGATCATTCTAAAATCGTGAACCAGAACTCTGAATATCATCTCAGTTCCTTCTCCATATACTGATTGTCACCTAATATCTCCTCCAAGCAGCTCTACATATTTCTTGCTGATTGTTAACCCCAATCCTCATCCATTTGGGTTCAAGTCTTCATTATCTTCAAGAACACCGAACAGCTTGAACAGACACTTTTGGTCTTGCTCTTTGATGCCTGTTCCAGTGTCTTGCACTCTGAATTCCAAGTAATCAGAGCCGTTCAGAGACTTCACCATTCAAACTTTGATTTTAATGAATCCATCGAAAGTGAACTTGGATAAATTCGAGACCAAGTTCAGCAAAACTTGTCTGGTTCTGTTGCAGTCAGTTCTGATCTCACAACTGTGCAAGGTGTCATCGCATTCTATGAGCAAGTCAACTCCCTTGTTTTCGCATTGTATTGTGAACAGAAAGTACACTTCTTGGAGCAACTCTGGCGCTTTGGAAAACTTGAACTTTGTGGTGAAAGTTCTGTTGTCAATTCTGGACAGGTTCAGAATGTCCTCTACCAGAGCCATCAACAACACTGACTAAGTAGAACCAGTCCTGATGAACTTCCAGATCAGATCTTTATGCTCTCTCGCCTGACAACTTTGTATCACATTCTTGCCTGTATCCTCCAATACTGTTCTGAGGAATTCCTGAAGACTCGACTTGATGATCTCGAAAGAGTTGATGATGGCATTGAGTGGAGTCCTGAACTCGTGACTCGCACTTGCAAGCATGATCTTCTGCATCTTGATTCTGTTCTTGGCTTTATCGAGATTGATGATGTCAGTAGTGTCAATGAAGACATGCATTACAGAGGGAACACCCTTCCACTCGATATCCAGAGACTTGATATTGAAATTCCTGCTGACTTTTCTGTTCGTTTTGTCTTGACTATTGGAAACATCTTTGTGCTTTGGTCAATCTCTATAGAAAGTGATGACTTTGTACTGTTCATAGCCATAATTGCAAAACAAAGTAGTAATTCATATTCTGACCCTATACTTACTGATATCAAAATGGTTTGCACTGGATGACTGCATTCTTCCTGAGTCCTTCAGAATGTCCCTTCTTCTGGCCAGGCTCTCCCAAATATTCAAGAAGTGTTCTTATTTCTTGGTAGTTGCTCTGAATGCCATCATTCTTTTTCACAACAACTTGAATCTGATCCAGTCTGTGAATCTTTTGATCAAGAGCTTGGATTTTGCTTTCAAACTGGTCATTAGAATAGCATTTGCAATCTCCAGATATGTTCTGGGGAATAATCAACACTGGGTGAGGGAACTGTTGGACAACTTTCTGTTTTTCTGTAGCCAGTCTCTCATTTTCAAGTATCATATTGTACATTTGAGAGAGCCTTGTTTGGTTGGTCTGAAGTCCAAGCACAAAGATTCGCACAGAAAATATTGTTGAAGCAATGTGTTTCACATCAACTTCTCTGAATCTGTACATTGCAATGACCAAGAGCATAAGAGCTGTTGAAGTATAGATCACACTCGTTACATGGCATTTAGATGGAGTCAAAGTGGCAAGATAAAAGTGGTACACATATATACATTGAAAAGCCACACTTATAGTGTCTTCGTGCTCCACATGAAACACTAAATGAGACATCAAATATGCCAACCCATTGAATACCAGTATCTATATTTGGAGGTGGTCGGCTGAAACAGAGATCTGTTTATTTTGCATAATTTATTCTATAGCCACTCAGATTCAGCAAGCAAGTTGAGAGAGCAACTCCATGTCAATATCTTCAATGAGAAACTATGATTTGAACTAAATCTTACCATGAAGATTGCAACTCAAAACACATTTTAGAGTAAAATATCACACGACTATACAAGAAGGCTAGTCTATATTATTAAATTGAGAGTCGAACTACAATATTGGCAAGGATTCTCTATAAATCTGCAAAATTATTAAACAGATTTAAGGATTTCAATCTCAGATGTATTGCATAGCCTTACTGGAAATCTCTAGATCGGTTTGAAGTCATCTAAGCTATATAAATTTGTAAAAAGTTGAAATTTTCTGTGTCACCACAATAAGCTATTCACTAAAGTTTCTACCCAGGCTCTGACTGTGTATCTGAGACAGATTGAGATATTGAATAATTATCAACAAAAGAAACTCTTTAATACTCGACCACTTGCAATTAGGAAGGCTTTCACACTTAAAATTTATTAGTAATGTTTAGCCTAAAAACTCTGGCTGTAATAATAACTATGTTTAGCCAGATCTCAGAATATGTAAAAAGTTAAGATTCTTGGGATGAAGTCTAACCAAGCCAGAGAGGCTCAACAGAGTTTTCTAGTACTCAGACAATTGAATTTCTTGAACTAATTTAAAGATTGATAAGACTGAAGGAGGAAAATAACCTAATTTCAAGTATTTATCAAGTTTGAAATTCATATATATTCAAGATGAAAACGACCATATAGTAAAACTGAGTTTTAAATAGATTATGCCTAAACTGTTAAGAAGCATTCTTTGCTCCATCCAAAGCCAAACGCCTTTTATGATGTAAGTCATAAATGAGGTTTACTCGAAATATGTGATGATCATTTGCTCATAATTTTATTATCTCTTGATAAGATAAACCAAATTTGAAGTCTCACTCGTGGACTTTCAATTATACATACCCATAAGGGATTAAACTCCTCTGGCACAATTTTTAGCAAAGTTAATAGTTTGAATGAGATTTGGAAGTTTCATATCACAAAGTCGGCATCTGGTTAGCTCTTTCTTCTAATAAAACTATACTACAAGCTTCAAAAAGGTTCTTCACAGGAGATTAAAAATATATCGTAATGTTGATGAACAAATTACATAAAGTCATCAACCAGTAGACTTCTCACAAATGGGAAGTCTTTACCTTCTTGATAAAGACCATGGAAGGCTGATTGAGGTGGTTCATGCTGCCTAGTAGTCAGTCAAACTCTTACTTTTGGGGATCTTTCTTTCGAGGTGGGTGAACTCAGAATCTGTGCGGCTCAGGGCATGCAAGAATGTGAATAAGTTGTTCATGTTCTGATGATTTAAGGCAAAATTCATATTTATGCTACTGTTTTGGGGTTTTGGGGTTTTGGGGTTTTGGGG